AGCCTGCGTGCGATTCTCTCCTCACAAGATTGTCTTTACGGAGCGCAGCGACCTTGGGGCGCGAGCCGTCTGCGTGCCAGCCGGGCCTAGAGGTCGGCGTTTGCAAGACTCACCGGCCTTTGAAGGCGCAGGACCCGCGCGTGATAGGGTTGCGAGGGGCCCGGTCGCAGTATTCCAAAGTGCGCACTGGTGATCCCAGCTCCCTTTATGCGTCTCTCGCTCGCGCGCTGGAGCACATGCGCAACTCGGAAGCTGCCGCCGGGTTTGTGGATGCATGTCCGCCACGCAAGGCTGACGACTTCGGGAAACGCTTAGCCGAGGCCCTTCGCCCACATGAAAAGAAAAACGGATACATACTTGAGCATTACGCGTGGAAGGTGAGCAGTGCAAAGAACGTTGATACAGCCCAGCTCGCGATAGGGAAGATGCAGGGATTTGTCTTTCTTGCTGTCACTTTCTGGGCTGTGCCCGTCCAAACGCCTGGTCCTTCTTGACCACTCAGGAAATAGATGGGTTACTTGCGCTCACAACTGCAAGGCATTTGTTACGCGACAACTTTTCAGCAATGCTATTGCGAAGGCCTTACGGCCAGTGCCGCCGACCCTGAAGGGCGACGACCAGCGCTCTCGGGGTCTCTTGAGGGTAGTTTTGGGGCCTCTTCGGAGGCTCTTGGGGCCTCTTGGGAGCTTCGTGAGGGCCCCTTGGGGCTTCCTGGGGGTCTCTTGGGGGCCTCTTGGGGCGTCTTGGGGGGCTTCTTGGGGGCCTCTGGGGGCCGCCTGGGCGCCACTCAGGGCGAGGGCTCGAAATGTCCGTTCGGCTCCCCTGTCTGGGCTCCCTCTTGGAGCCGTCTTCGGGGCCTCTTGGGCCGTCTTGGAGGCCTCTTGGGTCGTCTTGGGGCCATCTTGGGTCGTCTTGGGGCCGTCTTGGGGGCCTCTTGGGCCGTCTTGGGGCGATATTGGGGGCCTCTTGGGCCGTCTTGAAGCGTCGGGAAGCCGAAAACGCGAGAACTCAAAAAACCGTCAAAAAACAAAGGGAATGCTATGATTTTTGCACCTTGGGGCCTTCTTGGGAGTGCTTTTGGAGGCCTCTTGGGACGTTCTCGAAACCTCTTGGGCCGTCTGGAGGCTACTTTGGCGTGTTCGACCGATAGTTCGGCGATGCGGGGCCCTCGAGGACCGTCTTGGAGCCTCTTGGGGCACTTTTGCCGCGTCTTGAGGGTTTTCTGGGCCCCAGAACCGCCCGGGGGGGAGGCGTATCTGGGTGGCGCCCCCCCCCGGCGACCCCCCCCCCCCCCCCCCTCCCCCGGTGGGGAAGGGATCAAAGGGAAGGGGCTTCTCTTCGACTCAGCGACAACGTTACTCAATGTCGCTTTGGCTAGCGCGCTTCAGGATGAGGGCCCATGGAAAAGAGACTGGGGACGACGGAGACGACGAGGAGACGACGGAGACGGAGACGACGACGGAGACGACGAGGAGACGACGAGGAGACGACGGAGATTGCACGACAACGACGACGACGACGGCGACCAACGGAAGAGCGTCTTCCACACGCCGAGGGTCGGCGGATTTGAGCTCCAGCTGCTGAGCAAGCACACGCTGCGTGAGCTCACGCAGCGCCGAGAGCAGGGCACTATCACACGATATTGCCTGAAACGATATGGCATCAAGACCAAGCCGGCAAGAAATGATCAGCTTGGGCTTCATATTCTGCAAGAGAGTGCCCATTCGCCCCGCCCCCGTCCTCCTCTCTGTTCGCGCTTCCCTCCCCCCTTCCCTTCCGGCCCTCCACAGAACTGGGCCTCCCGCCCGACCTGCCGTAGATCAAAAAACCCTTGTTGCGAAAATGGTTCGTTCTGTTGCGTTTTCCTGCCCCCTGCCTCTTGGCCAGGCGATCCGGAGCTTTTTTCGCAAACGGGTCATGGTGACCTCCGGGGAGGGTCTCTGGGCTTCCGTGGTCCCGTGGAAGGGCGCTGGGGCGGTGTATGCAGCAAGCACTGTTGGACCCACAGTTGAGAGGAATGATTGCTTGTACATTGCCTCATGCTTGACGTATTTTGCAGCCTCTCGGCGAATTGTCGATCAAGTGTGGAACGCCAGTTCGATCAGAGAGTGCTGCACAGCTCGTATTCCCTTCGCTCCGCGCCGCCGCCGCCCCTGTGCTCCGGTGCCACGCTGTTTTACTGCGGTGCCGCGCCGTGTCGTGCCGTGCTTTTGTGTGCTGGGGGTGCCGCTGCCGCGTGGTGCTGTGCCGCGCCGTTGTTGGCTTGCCGTGTTTCGTGCAGCTATCGGCTGACCCAGGCTCGTCGTCTTCCCCTTGCTCCTTGCCTTCCCCCCCTTCCCTCCCCCCCTTCCTTCGTGCTCGCCCCGTCAGCCTGGCTGCTTCCTTCGCTCGAGGGGCCCCGACCCAGCGCTTCTTGCTAGTGGGCCCACCCCGCCGTTGCCCGCCCGCCGCGGCTGCCGCAGGGGCGCCCGTGCCCGGGGGGAAAGGGGCAGGGGTTGAGGGCACCGCAGTAGGCTCGGGCCATGCCGGGGCGCCGCCGTCAGGGCGAGGACCACAGCCGCTCGCGCCGGCGGCGCCGCCGCCGCAGCCCGTCCTTGGCCCGCGACGCCTCCGCGACCTCGGTCGCTGGCAGCCCACCGCCCGCCCGCCCGGCAGCCGTCGAGGGAATCCCCCCGCATCTTGCCCAGTGGCCGGACGTGGAGCCACCTCCGCCGCCGCCGCCGCCCCCGCCGGCCCCGCGCCAACCTGAGCCCGTGCTAGGCCACGCTCCGCCGGGCGATTTCGGCCCGCCAGCAGCGTGGATCGGAAGCACCCAGACCAAGGCCGCGCCCCTGCAACATCCGGCGGTCGCCTCGCTGCGGCATGAGTCGCCGCCCAGGCGGTTGCTCGCAGAGCCCCGCCCCGCCGTGGCCACCTCGCCCGGCCCGCCGGCGCTTAGTCCCCCGCCGCTCGCACCAGGGTGGGAGTCCCGCCGGAATGTGATGGGCCACGTGTTCTTCCAACACCGGGAGTCGGGCATTTCCCAGTGGGACCATCCCAGGTCCGCCCAGCTTGACCCCCGCCGTGCCGCGCTGGCGAACATTGGCGCCGAGCTCCAGCGACTCCAGGACACGCCGAGTCCACGGGAGGAATTCGGCAACAAGTCTGGGGGCTACCTGTGGGTCCACAAGCACACGGGTGAGACGGCCAGGGAGCTTCCGCCCGACCTAGCGGAGCAGCAGGCCCGGATCGCAGCGCTGCGCGCTCACTTGAACGCAGTCCCTCACGCGTTCGTCCTAAAGGCCATTGGGTCATCGACCCAAGCGAAGAGCAGCTCGCCGGCCCCGAGTGGCTCCGTGACGCCCCACCCCTGGGCCCCCGCCCTGGGCAGCCCGACCATGCCCATTGGCTTGCCGCCAGCAGGGGCCTCCGTTGACCCGCAGACCCGGCTCCTCCTGAAGCAGCGCCTCGATCCACAGGCTGTCGAGGTTGCGCTCCTCGACCAGGGCCGCATGGGCCGCAGTGCGCTCCTCGACCAGTGCCTCGCGAGCCTCTCCCGACAGTGCGCCATTACGAGCACCCTGTGGTCGAGCCAGCAGGTGACTCCCCTCCACGAGTCGGGCCCCCGTGTCGTCCGATCCACTTTGTGCTTGCGCCCTATTTCAATTTCGGCGGTCATGACATCTGTCGTGAATGGTGGGCGTTTGATGTCGCCTCCCACCCCGCCATGCTCCTGAACGCCTACGAAGCAGGTGTCCGTGGCCATGGTTGGCTCCTCCTCGACGATTTCATGTCGTCAGACAGCTATTTCATTGCGCTTCGCGGCCACGTCTCTTTTTCGTCTCTTGGCGGCGGCGCGGCGCAGGGCCGTAGGTTCAGCGTTGGCGTTTTCAACGCGCAGCGCAAGTGGCTGGCTGAGGAGGTGTACCGCGTGCTACCTGGGAGCTGCGCGGCTTGGGTGGAGCCCCACCTTCGGCGTTTTTGCTTAGCGTTTGCGGTTCCTGATTCCTCTGCCACTTGTGGGCCAGCGCCGTCAGCTGTGGGGGGCGACCTTGAAGCTTTGGCTATCGAGGTGGCGTCGGCAGCTGCCGCGGAGCAGGCGCCCTTCCCAAGGGCCGAGCGAGCAGTGCTGAATGGTGCCCAGCGGTTCGCCTCTGAGGCCGACAGGGCCTACCTGGATACTGCAGTAAGTGCCTTTCGGCACAGCTTTGCTGCTCTCATCCTTTTTGTTTTCTCTTAGGGGCGTGCCGTCTTGTGATGCCTCGGGGTTTTGCTTCCTCTTCTCTTCCCTGCTCTTGCCTCCTTTGCTATCTCACGCGCGTTATCACTGGCCGCTTGGGACCGCGATGATATCGTGCTCGCGGCTGTGTGGGCCATAGCCGTTGTTATTGTCTTGTTCAGCGTAATGTCCATTTCGCTGTGCCGCCCCCTTCGGGCCTTCCGAATATCGGCCACGCGGCCAGGACAAGAGTGCCCGCGCCAGCCCGGTCTAGCTACGGCATCGCAGTGGCTATCGTGCTGCGGCCTCTCAGTGGTGGCGCCCTCCCTCTCCGTGTTTTCCTACCTCCTGGTCCCCTCCCTCTTTTCTGCTCCTCCCCGAGTTTTTTTTTGTTTTTTGTTTTGTTTGTTGTTTTGTTTTTTTCCCCCCGCCAGCCATTGGCACGTGGAGGCACAGTCTTCCAGTGGTGAGTTGCAGTGCTCACATATCGAGGTATTGTCGTCGCCAGTGCGGGGGGGAGGGGGGGGGAAACAAATCTCTCACCCCTCCTGTCTCCCTCCTGACTCTTGACTCCTACTTCCTGCCTGCTCCCTCATCCTAGCCTCCCTTCTCTGCTCTCCTCATTCTTCTCGTCCTCCTCCTTCCCCATCTCTTCCCCACCTCTGCCCTTCTCTTCCCTTTTCCTTCTTCTCTCTCTCTCTCTCTCTTTCTCCTGCTCCCTCCGCTGCCTCCCTCCTCCTCCCTTCCTTCTCCTTCTCCTCTCTCCTCCTTCCGTCCCTGCTTCTCCTCCTAGCGCCCATCCTCTTCTCCTGCTTAGGTCAGGAGCCTGCCTGTCGGCGCTGTGGGAGAGCAGGTTCGCAGCACACCGCTGCAGTCGCTGTTCTGGCTCGATCCGGGCTGACCCCACACGTGGACACGGGCAGCACTCGCAATGGCAGTCAGCCGTGCCTGTTTCGGCTGCTTCTCGCAGCTCTTCCCTGCCGCCCCCCAGATGCCGCCCGGGACGCCTCCGGGCAGGTCGCGCGCCGCCCCGAGGAGTGCAGAGCCGTATGTGCTCGATCATAGGCCCTTGCTTTGGGCTACCTTCGGCCCCTGGGGGCCCTTCTCCTCCTCCGCCTCCTCCTCCTCTTCTCCTCTTCCTCCTCCTCCTCCTGCTTCTCCTCCTCATCCTTCCCCCCCAGCTTCCGAGCAGAGGACCACCGAGGACCGCTGGGGACTGGCAGGGAACGCCGAAGGCTGCCGAGGTCTGCTGCACGTCAGGGTGGCCCTTGGCCGGAGTGACCCGTGGTGCGCGGCTTTTCGGGCGGCGCGGGGTGCGGGGCGTGGGGCGGGCGGGTGGGGGGGTAAACTCAAGCATGCAGGCCGCCACCGTCGCATCGGATGCGTTGACCAGCAAGCCGCGCACCAAAGGTCACACACCTTGCCCAGGGCCACTCGCCGCGTGCAGCCGACGGGGGCCCGCGGGCAAACCAGGGGAGGGTGAGCGGCCCCTGGTCGAGCACGCGTGTCAGAGCCGCAGCCCGTCATGCTGAGCCTGCGCCCTGGCCTCACGCTCCGTGCGCTGCGCTCTGCGGCACCCGTCGGCACGGATGGCCAGAGCGCCGCGTCCTGCGCCGGGGACGCCACCGGGTACTGCCCCTGGTGGGGTGGGCTGTTGCTCTCGGCTGCGCGCAAGGGTGACCCTTCGCAGGAGTGGCCTTTTTGGTGCGAGCCTACAGGCCCCCCCCGCCAGCACTGGCTGGCGTGCTTGAATTTGGCCCTTCCGCCGCCTCCCAGTGCCACGCACCAGAGGTCACTCTTGCGTAGGGCCGCTCTTGCATGTGGCCGATGCTCGCGTCCTGGCTTGCGCACGAGCCCCGGGAGCTGCTGCAGGGGCGCAGGGTCATCGAGCTGGGCTGCGGCAGCACCGCGCTCCCGAGCGTCGTGGCGTCCAAGCGGGGCTCGGCCGTGGTGCGCGCGACCGACCGGTCGCAGGCCAACGTGCGCGCCGCGCGCGCGGTGCTCGCGTGCAACGGGGCCGTGAGCGAGGAGTGCGACGCGCGCCCGCTGGCCTTCGAGGACACCCTGGCTTTGAAGGGGTTGGGCTCGTGGGACGTGGTGCTCTTCGCGGACGTGCTGTACCAGAGCGGGACGGCGGCACCCCTGTCCCAGGCGGTGGCGCAGCTGCTGCGGCCAGGCGGCACGGTGGTCGGGACCGTCGGCGTGCACCGCACCGGCTCGTGGGAGATATTCGCCGAGATGCGGCGCCAGGGGTTCAGGGTGAGCGAGCTCGAGGTCTCAGAGCCTGTGTGCGCCTCCGCCCTGCAGTCGGCAGAGTGCCTGCGCAGGGCCAACCGCTGCGACGCAGCTGGGTCGATGGGCTTGGATCCAGCCAGATGTAACTCAAACGAGTGCAAGATGTTACGCTGGGTTCGCACAGGGCAGACGGAGCCAGACACGTCCGAGGCGTTGTGCCAGGAAATCCTGCACGCGCCTCCATCTCAGATCCAGTTTGGAGGACAAGGGGCTGGCGATGAGTGGACGCCGACGGAGTAGTTAATCAAGTTGAGTTGATAGTGAAGGTGGACAGGATGCGACTTGCATATTCGCCGAATGCGAATTTTCCGGCAGATTGTACGCGTTGACGCGTTGACCAGTAAAGTTTACGCTGTGCCATGCTGGCTTGCGAATGATCTCTGCTCAGTTGTCGGGCATGACTCTATGTGCTGCGTCATCTCAAGGACATGCCTGCACGAGGAGGCCTTCTGCCTTCAATCCAATCAGTGCGTTTGACGTTTTCCCGCCCTCGGGCTGCATCGTTAGTGGGCGATTTTGTAAGGCACAGGGCCGAACGCCCAGACTGTGCTTTCCAGGCGTTCCTGGGAATCTCAGCCCGACGCTGGGACACGACTGCTGGGCTCGGCGGCGCCACACAGCAGATGCTCCCAAATCGTCTTTGTTGCGTACGGCGGCCTCCGCCCAACAGTCTGTTTTGACCGGTGCTCTATGGCAGCTTATCGGGCAGGCGCGTAGAGTTCACGCAGCAGGAGGTCATTGGTGATGCGCTTGAGCAAAGAAGGCTTCGTGTGGGAGCATAGTATGGTGGACGCGTGCGTTCACCAGAATACCTCCGTGCGCACTTCTTCCGAGCAGAGTCGCAGGACCCCAGGGAGTGGCTGATACAGAGAGTTACTGGCCCCCGAAAGCAGGATGGTGTCCATATCCACATCCACCGCTCCCGCAGGAAACTGGCAGGATTCCCCAACTCGTGAAAGCGGGCATCTCCTGTCGGTGCGGCATCAACCATCGGTGCCCAGCGAAATCAGAATATGGTACACGGTCGTGCCATCTGGACAGAAGTAAAGATCTGAGCTAAACCCCATCCGTCTCGCAGTCGTCTCGCAGAGGCGGTGAGGGAGCTGCGAATCTCTCCCAGACCTCCTCCCGACCTGCTGTGACCTGGCGCCGCATAACCTGGAAGCTTTGCTTGATGATTAGGAGGAGGAGGAGGAGGAGGAGGAGGAGGAGGAGAAGGAGGAGGAGGAGGAGCAGGAGCAGGAGGAGGTGGGAGGGGGAGGAGACACAGAAGGAAGAGGACGAAGACGGGGGCAGCAGGAAAAGTAGCATAAGTAGACCGAGTCGGAGGAGTATAATGTGGATGAGTAAAAGGAGGCGGAGGAACGGGAGCAGGAGAGGGGAGGCAGAGGAGCAGGATGAGGAGTAGAAGGAGTAGGTGGGTGACAAGGAGGGAGGGAACGAGGACTGAATAGGGACCTTTCTTCCTTCCTCCCTTCCTTTCTTCTTCTCCTCCTTCTCTTCCGCCTTCTCCTCTTCCTCTTCCCTCTCAAGCAGTGAGCCCTTTCCTCACTCCCTTCATTTCTTCCTGTCCTCCCTCCTCCTCCTTCTCCTCATCTTCCCCCCGCCTACTTCTCCTCCTCCTCCTGTGATGTTCTTCGAACAGGGTTGCTCCCAGTGTAACGTCGGGCCGCCGAAACTGCATGGTCTCAGAAGTGTGTGCACCGCTGACATGATCGCTCAAGCTTTTTCTCCTCGGAGGGGGATGCTCCCTCCGTGGGCAGCCAGCGCGATCACCCAGCTGGCGCATGGCGTGTCTGCTTGGCTGAGCCGAGCGCCTGCGGCGCCGCCCTGTCCGCTGTGCCCGGACTGCAGGTGCGTGTGCCCCGCGGCGCCCCAGTGCCCCGCCTGCCCGGGGGCGCCCTCGCCGTGCCCGGAGTCGGGGGCGCCTTCGACCCGCGGCGAGGCCCCAGCCCCGACGGTGGCGGCCGCGTGGCTCACGACGGTGACCGCCCTCGTCGTCGGGATCGGGCTCAGCGAGGTCAGCCGGGTTGCCGATGGCTGCTGCGGACGCCGCTGCCGGGCCGCAGCTGGAAGGAGTAAACCAGGTGGCCTACGTCCTGTATGCGGTGCCGGGTCCGGCCCTGTGGCACCAGCGCTGGCTGATGGGGAGGGTGGTGTCGTGTCCGAGTGACGCCATCCTCGTGTCGCCCGATCGCGTCGTGCAATGGGAGGTGGTCGACGGCTCGTCGGCGGACATCAGCGCCGTCAGGTGGGCCGCGGGCATGGGGCCGCGCCCGCCGGGTGTGACGCGGACCTATCGGTTCGGCGCGGCCCCGGGTCCCGCCGACGTGGCTTCCTGGCTGCCCGAGGCCGAGGCCGAGGCGCGGCGCTGCTTCCAGAGGCGCCATCCATGAGTGCCTGTGCCCGCGCCCGTGCTCGAGCCGTTCCCGTGGGCGGCGCCCGCAGGCTTAGCCGCCCCCCTGCCCGCGGCGGGCGGGCCCGCGGCCGCGGGGGCTGCTGGCGCTGGAGGCGCGGCGGGGCCGCTGGTGGCAGCGGGCGCGCCGCCGCCCCTGGCCGCTGCGGCCGCCCCCCATCCAGCGCCCCTGGCGGGCGGCGTGCTCGGGCGCGGCGTCGGTGCCGCAGCGGCGGCGGCAGGAGCGGCGGCTCTCGGCGGCGCCGGCGGCGGCCCCCCCGCCGGGGCCGCGTTGGCAGCAGCCGTCGGCGGCCCCCCTCGGCCCCTCCTGCTCGCTGGTGGCGCCGGCGGCGCGCCCGCGGGGCCTGTGGGCAACTGGAGGGCGGCCCATGAGTGGCGGGGCTACCACTATGGCGACGTGGCCGACGGCGAGGAGGGCGACTTCGGCGATAGGGCGGTGGCGCCCGACTGCCGATTGCTGCCCATCCGCCTCGACCGCGCGGGAAAGCTGTGCGGCGCGCTGGCCAATATCGTCGAGAGCTGCCGCGAGGAGGCCCTGCCGGAGTTCATCCGCCGAAGGACCACCATGTGGTGCCTGGAGCACCTCGCGAACGAAGGTCGGTCGCTGGAGAGCCACCTCGAACACTTCAAATAGCTGTGCGGCCTCCAGGACACCCAGTGGGGCATGGAGGAGCACGCCAGCTTGATCAGCTACCTGAATGCCCTGCTCCAGCACGACCAGGTGGACGCCACAATCTGACTATTCCTCCGCCCGGGCGTCCGCCCGGGCACCCGGACACCCGGGCGCCGGCCCGGACACCCGGACACCCGATCACCCGGGCACCCGGACACCCGGACACCCGGACCCCCGGACACCCGGACACCCGGACACCCGGACGCCCGGACACCCGGACACCCGGACACCCGGACACCCGGACACCCGGACGCCCGGACGCCCGGACGCCCGGACGCCCGGACGCCCGGACGCCCGGGCAGCTCGGACGCCCGGACGCCCGGACACCCGGACACCCGGACACCCGGACACCCGGGCACCCGGACGCCCGGACACCCGGACACCCGGACGCCCGGACGCCCGGACACCCGGACACCCACCCGGACACCCGGACGCCCGGACCCGGGCCCGGACGCCCGGACACCCGGACGCCCGGACGACACCCGGACACCCGGACACCCGGACACCCGGGCACCCCGGACGCCCGGACGCCCGGACCCGGACGCCCGGACGCCCGGACACCCGGACACCCGGACACCCGGACACCCGGACACCCGGACACCCGGACACCCGGACACCCGGACGCCCGGACGCCCGGGCAGCTCGGACGCCCGGACACCCGGACACCCGGACGCCCGGACGCCCGGACACCCGGACACCCGGACACCCGGACACCCGGGCACCCGGACGCCCGGACGCCCCGACGCCCGGACGCCCGGACACCCGGACACCCGGACGCCCGCGGACACCCGGACACCCGGGCACCCGGACGCCCGGACGCCCGGACACCCGGGCACCCGGACCCCGGCGGGGTCCGGACACCCGGACACCCGGACGCCCGGACGCCCGGACGCCCGGACACCCGGACACCCGGACACCCGGACACCCGGGCACCCGGACGCCCGGACGCCCGGGCAGCTCGTCGTCGGTCGTCGTCGTCGTCGTCGTCGTCGTCGTCGTCGTCGTCGTCGTCGTCGTCGTCGTCGTCGTCGTCGTCGTCGTCGTCGTCGTCGTCCCGCTCGGCCGGCCCGCCGGCCGCCTCGGCTCGCCTCGGCTCGGCCTGCGAAGGATGATGATGATGATGATGATGATCATGATGATTAGGAGAAGGAGGAGGAGGAGGAGGAGGAGGAGGAGGAGGAGGAGGAGGTGGAGGAGGAGAGCGAGGAGCCGGGGGTGGAAGTTGACGCAAGGGGAGGGCGGCGGGGGAGGAGGAGGAGTGGGAGGAGGACATGGAGGAGGACGGGGAGCAGCAGGCGTTCGCAACCCGCATCTCGGGCTGCATGCCGGCGAACAGCATCCAGGGAGAAGGCGAGGGCGAGGAGCAGGAGGAGGAGGAGGAGGAGGATGAGGAGGAGGAGGCCCGTTTCGCGTGAGACATCCTCGGAAGTCTGGGTTCAGAGATGTTGCGACTTGAGATGATCTGGGCACCCTCGCCTCGGACATCCTGGGTTCGCAAATGCCGGTCTCGAAGTGTTTCGGCTGGCTCCGCGTGAGACATCGTCGGCGCTCTGGAGTCCGATATGCTTTGACATGAGGTGATCTGGCCAATGTCGCCTGAGACATCGTCGCAACTCTGACCTCGGAGATGCCCTGCCCCATGGTGTTTCGGCCACTTTCGCCGGAGACATCCTCGCCACTCTGGGTTCCGAGACGCCCTGAGCTGAGGTGGTCAGACAATTTCCGCCAGAGACATCCTCGCAACTCTGACCTCAGAGATCTCCTGCCCCATGGTGGTCCGGCCACTGTCGCCTGAGACATCCTCGCAAGTCTCGATTCCGATATGCTTTGGGCTCAGGTGGTCAGGCCACTGTCGCCAGAGACATTCTCGCAACTCTGATCTCGGATATGCTCTCCCCCATGGTGGCTCGGCCTGTCTAGCCTGAGACCCTCGCAACTCTGGATTCCGAGATGCCCTGAGCAGGTGGTCAGGCCACTGTCGCCTCAGACATCGTCGCAACTCTGACCTTGAAGACGCCCTGCCCCATGGTGGCCTGGCCACTTTCGCTTGAAACATCCTCGCGACTCTGGGTTTTGAGACGCCCTGGGCTGAGCTGGTTTAACTGTTTTCGCCAGAGACATCCTCACAACACTGACCTCGATGATGTCCTGCCCCATGGAGGTCCGGCCACTTTCGCCTGAGACATCCTCGCAAGTCTCGGTTCCGAGATGCCCTGAGTTTAGGTGGTCCGTCCACTGTCGCCTGAGACATTCTTGCAACTCTGATCTCGGATATGCCCTGCTCCATGGTGGTTCGGCCTCTTTCGCTTGAGACCCTCGCAACTGTAGGTTCCGAGAAGCCCTCAGCAGGTGGTCAGGCCACTCCTTCATGAGACATCCTCGCAACTCTGGGTTCCAAGACGCCCTGAGCTGAGGTGGTTTAACCATGTTCGCCAGAGACATCCTCACAACTCTGGCCTCGATGATGTCCTGCTCCCTGGTGGCCCAGCCACATTCGCCTGAGACGACATCCTCTCAATCTTTCCAGAATTTGTCCCGGTCGTGGCCTAGCATTCCTATGGTTAGGTGAACCGGGCCGCCGATTTCGGTGGCCGGGCCCAGATGCCCGGGGTTGCCCTATAGCCCCATAGCCATATAGCCCCATCAATCCAATTAGCCCAAGTGGTTCCATTAGGCCAATTTGCCCATAAGCCCAATAGCCAATCAGCCCTATAGCCCTATAGCCCTCTAGCCCTATAGCCCTATCGCCCTATAGTCCAAAAGCCCTCAAGCCTTCTAGCCCTATAGCCTTATAGCCCCATAGCCCTATAGCACGATATCCCTATAGCCATATAACACACTAACCCATATAGACTTATAGCCCGATAGCCCTGTAACCCTATAGACCTTTGCCCGTATAGCCCTATAGCCCTATAGCCCTATAGCCCTGTAGCCCTATAGCCCTATAGCCCTATAGCCCTATAGTTATGTAGCCCTATAGCCCTATAGCCCGCCAGCCCTGTTGCCCCATAGCCCTATATCCCTAGAGCCCCATAGCCCTATACCTCTACAGCCCTATAGCCCTACAGCCCATTAGCCCTATAGCGCCGTAGCCCTATAGCCGTATAGCCCTATAGCCCTATAACATATTGCCCTATAGCCCAATAGCCCCATAGTCCTACAGCCCTATAGCCCTATAGCCCTAGCCCTACAGCCCCATAGCCCTATAGCTCGATAGCCCTATAACCTTTCAGCCATATAGCGCTAGAGTCCTATAACCCCATAGGCAAATAGCGCTATAGCCATTTAGCCATATAGCCCTATGGCCCTATACCCCCATAGACCTACAGCCCGTTAGCCCTTTGGCCCTACAGCCCTATAGCTGTATAGACCTTATAGCCCTATAGCCAAATATCCCCATAGCCCGATGGCCCAATAGCCCTATATCCCTATAAATTGCCATGTTTCCATGTTGCGATACAGCCCCATAGTTCAATAGCCTCATAACCCCAGAGCAACAACAAATATGATTGTTTCTTTTCTCTGGTGTTCTATACTCATTGTTGTAACCGGGCCTACATACACTTTCGCATTGGGGCATCAGGGAGACTGAACGCCCTCGCAACAGGGCGCCCGGACACCTGGACACCCAGACGCCCGGGCACCCAGACACCAGGACACCCGGACACCTGGACGCCTGGACACCCAGGCACCCAGACAACCGGGCACCCGGACACCCGGGCACCCGGACACCCGGACACCCGGACACATGGACACCCGAGCACCGGATCACCCGGACACACGGACATCCGGGCACCCGGACACCCAGGCACCCGGGCACCCGGACACCCGGACACCCGGACACCCGGACACCCGGACACCCGGGCACCCGGACACCCGGGCACCCGGACACCCAGGCACCCGGGCACCCGGGCGCCCGGACACCCGGGCACCCGGACACCCGGACACCCGGGCACCCGGACACCCGGGCACCCGGACACACCCGGACACCCGGACACCCGGGACACACCCGGACACCCGGGACACCGGCGGCACCCGGACACCCGGGCACCCGGACACCCGGGCACCCGGACACCCGGACACCCGGCGGACACCCGACCCGGACACCCGGACACCCGGACACCCGGACACCCGGACACCCGGGCACCCGGACACCCACACCCGGGCACCCGGGCACCCGGACACCCGGACGGCCCGGACACCCGGACACCCGGACACCCGGACACCCGGACACCCGGATACCCGGGCACCCGGGCACCCGGCACCCGGACACCCGGCACCCGGACACCCGGATACACCCGGGCACCACCCGGACACCGGCACACCCGGGCACCCGGACGCCCGGACACCCGGACACCCGGACACCCGGACACCCGGACACCCGGGCACCCGGACACCCGGACACCCGGACACCCGGACGCCAGGACGCCCGGACACCCGGACGCCCGGACGCCCGGACACCCGGACACCCGGACGCCCGGACACCCGGGCACCCGGACACCCGGGCACCCGGACACCCGGACGCCCGGACTCCCGGACGCCCGGACACCCGGACACCCGGACACCCGGGCACCCGGACACCCGGACACCCGGGCACCCGGACACCCGGACACCCGGACACCCGGACACCCGGACACCTGGACACCCGGACGCCCGGACACCCGGACACCCGGACACCCGGACGCCCGGACACCCGGACGCCCGGACGCCCGGACGCCCGGGCACGCGCCCGGGCACGGTAAAATAGTCATATACCCGGTGGACGCCGCCAACATCCCTGGGGTCGCCCAGATCTTGAATCTAGATCCTGGTATCGTGGATCTACATTGCGTGTGCGGATCTAGAATGATGATGGTGGTGATTACGTAGATCTAGAATCGTGATGCGTTGTTGCATCTGAATCGCGATCGTTCGTCGCTCGCGGTAGTTCTGCTGCATTTTACCAGACAAGTTATCGAACA